GCCAAAGTGGCCTCCAGAACAAAAACCTTCTCAAGGCTCCAGCTTTCACTGAAATTAGTCCATACCAAGGGAAGTGTAACACAACTACATGATGTAAAAGAATACACAAATACATTTGAGGTACAATAGATTCTTAGAAAGAACCAGAAAAATGAACCAACCTTCATTCTTTTTGCACTCAACTGTACCACCACTATTTTCATTGCAATTTTTCATTATGTAGCCCTTGGTATTTCATTGAGATTTTCATATTTTCCCCCACTGCTTTCATTGTGGTTTTTCATTATGCAGCTCCTGATATTTCATTCTGACTTTCATACTTACCACCACTGTTTTCATTGTGATTTTTTATTATGCAGCTCTTGATATTTCATTCACATTTTCATATCATATCCATTAGGATATCAGGGCTATTTCATTACTAATTTCAGGGTCCAGGGTGTACTTCTAAATATGGAAACCTACCAAAATAGGAATGGTGGCTAGGTCCACTGTATATATCCAAATGATGAAAGGACATTCTAAACCAACCAAAAGGTGCAATAAAACCAGATAAGGATAATTATACATGTTAGGGTCCATCCAATGGGTGTTTGGAAGGGTGGTCACATGACCAATTGCCTAAAATGGTCAAAAACGAAAGTTGTAGCCCTGCACTGTAGCTTCCTGAATCTGTTTGAATTATGTTCTGAAGTGCTCCTGTTGTGGAGATATGAGGTAAAGGAATCCCAACAGCATCGCAATTTTTTTTTTGCATTTTTCTCCCTGAAAACAAAACCAAACAATATGATTTCAGTACATTTAGAAAGCTAAAAGAAAGGGCTACAATTATTGTATTGTGGGAAAATGAACAAAAAAGGAAGGTGTATTACCAAGTTTACTGATAGACTACAAAAGACTACAAAAGTGGGACATAGACTACAAATTTTACTGAGGGTTAGGGCTAAAAGGTTATCCAAAGTCAACCTAGCCCATCCATCCCATACATGGCACATATTTGATGGGGAAATGGCTGGGGAATATACAGATACATTGCAGGGACCCTATTCCATGTTTAGTTTGAGGAATTATATGAGAGCCATTAAAAAAGGTTGTCCTGTCCACTTTTTTAGACTACAAAAGTTTGTAGCATGTGCTTTGTTATTGGAAAAGTTTGTAGTGTCTGCTTTTTCATTTGAAAAAGTGTGTAGTGTCTGTTTTTTAGACTACAAAAGTTTGTAGTTGACATGTAGGTTATGGTGTCCTTGGCCCTGTCTAGGTTATGGGGATGAGGTTGAATGATGGACATGATCTTACATATTGCCAGTGCTGCAGCATTAGTTTTTGACATCATGCACAAGTTGTCTTTCACATTGGGAAAGGCTATTCTAAGCCTTTCATATTGATACCTACTGTCCTATCTAAAAACATAAAACATAATTATAGGTTCATGTGGGGATATGGCTGAAGGCTTGCCATGACTTTACATATTGCTATTGCCACATCACCAGTTTTTCACATCTTGGCTTTCAAGCCAGAGGAGGCCATTCATGTTGATATCTACTGTTCTGTCTCAATACATGGTCAACTTACAACATGACCTGACTTGAGGACACCTCCAAGGATGAATCAGCCTATCATCCTATAGCCCTCAAAGAGCTGATATCAAAGTTGACTATGTTTGGGACAGGCCAGTAGCTATCAATGTGAAAGCAGACAGTGTGAAAGTGAACTTGGGCATGATGTGAAAAACTGGTGATGTGGCAATAGCAATATGTAAAGTCATGGCAAGCCTTCAGCCATATCCCCACATGAACCTATAATTATGTTTTATGTTTTTAGATAGGACAGTAGGTATCAATATGAAAGGCTTAGAATAGCCTTTCCCAATGTGAAAGACAACTTGTGCATGATGTCAAAAACTAATGCTGCAGCACTGGCAATATGTAAGATCATGTCACATTCTGGGGTCAGACGTTCTTTGGAGCTGATTGACCCAACTGTGCCAGTCACGGTAAGTTTACTTATTTATCACATGTCACAAAATATTGACCGTTTCGGCCATTTGACAAGAATTATCAATACTTGGACAATGTGTCCACATTGAACATAAATTTAAATGATAAAAATTTACACATGCGCTTGATTCTTTATGACACCAATTCAACCTGCTTCGAGTAGCTCTAGTGTTCGCAGGTCCAGTTAAGTCCAGTTTTTTACCTCAAAATGATGCAACTGGCAACCACAACTGGTCTAGACCAATCCAAATATTGAGGGACCACAACTGGACCGCTTTGGACCAGTCCAGACCAGTTGCAACCGGTCTTTTGTTGTAAAATTTATTACACCACAGAAACTAAATATTACCTCACGTACATTGCATACGTAGATAGATATTTTAATTCTCCATAGACTGATCAAAAATCTAAGCAATTCCGTCAAGATTTGACTGAGGTAGGGCGAAAACAGAAAGGATGTACATTTGAATCACATGTATAAAAATGTTTTTGGCCATATCTCAACCAATTCTTGACCGTTTTTGATGATTCAGGGACCGAAAATTAAGTAAAATGTGCACGAGTAAGGTCCAGCACGTGATTGGACGAAAGACCAGTTGCAACTGGTCTAAACCGGTCTTTTTCGGTTTTTATATATTTACAAAAACATGGCAACTGGCAACTAGACTGACCACAAATGTGGGCAACTGCAACGGGAAAAAGACCAGACCGTGGTTCAGTCCTGTAGACTGGACCTGTGAACACTAAGTAGCTCTGCACTCATCAATGCATTGAAACAACATGGCATCCTGTACGAAGGTCTCGATCAGAAAAACTGGCATATGGTTCTTGTTCACCATTTACTATATGGCCATTGTCATCGGCAACTGCTTCCCACTTGCCGCGTTGTGGCTAATATGACGAAAATGATGTCTACCCTTGTGGTGTTGTTATCGTCAGATATACTGAATTCTTTTCGGGAGAATAAGATTTCACTCTCATTGTTTGAAAATATTTGTATCTTACACTGGATGCAAACCACATTAACTTGAATCAAATTATTTTAAAGAAATTGTAAAGAAATTTCACATAATTTTAAAGTAACAATGTCTGAAAAATTGTAAAATTATTGTGACTTTTTCTTGAAAAACAACAGTATTATCCAAAGAAAAATCACAATAATTTTACAATGTTTTAGACATTGTTACCGTAAAATTATTTAAATTTTCTTTACAATTTCTTTACAATAATTTAGTTCAAGTTAATGTGGATTGCATCCAGTGTTATTGGGATTCAAGGCTGGATGGAATTACAAAAACTCTGTCCAATCTGATCTTCTTAACTTCTATGAAACACGGTTAAAAAACCTAGGTCACCCTCACACTTTTTATGAACTGTCTCGTTTTTTGAGTGATTATGATGATATGGATAAATGACACTAACACACCTATGTGGTATGCATGGGTTAGATGCTCATGGCTCAGTTCAAACCATATGACATAGATTGTTCATGCATGTGTGTGGCGGCCATTGTAAATCTGAGGAATGTTCAGACACAGGTCCTCCCTCTTGTGAAAGCACTGTTAATGAGCTCCTGCCTTTGGGAATTACTGATTTTGGTGTTTCATTACTGGCATGTACTGTTCACAAGATGAGACTGAAAACTCTTCGTCAGGTAGCTTCTATGTATCATCTTGAATGGACTCAAACTGATTCTATCACTAAACTCCACTGCATTGTGAAGCATTTCATCTGTTCAACTGCAAAGGGTAAGAAAAGTCTCAAGTGTAATGCATGCTTTAATGCACGTAATGTTCACATGGACACTTTGAATGATGCTCATTGTCGCTGGCCTAAAGTTCCTCAAAAATCACTGCTCAATGGACTTGTAGCCAATTTCAAACATGCTACATCATCTTTGACTCTCTCTTCTGGCACATGTGCATCATGTGTGGAAAAGGTACTTCGTCAGTCTATGAAAAGCTTGCTTATATCAGAGATAGACCTTGCATTGTTAAGAAGACCAGACTTTGATGACAGTACAGAGGATCCTGATGAGCCCTTTGCATCGACTGGTGAGGCAGATCAATTTTGGTTACATCCAGATCTGCCTTGTCCCCCTCTGCCTTACCCCGATGGTATTTTAAATGATATTTTATTAGATTCAGATGGTGTTGTTGGGAAAGATGGCATACCTCATTCTATTCTCATTTGCAAAGCTTGCTGCAATTGTCTGTCATCCGGTCGAACAATGTCTTTGGCGATCATTAATAGGCTATTCATTGGCAATGTACCAGATGAACTGAAAGATCTTACTGCTGTTGAAGAGTTTATGATTGCACTTTGCAGAGCTTGTGCTATCATGGTGCATTTAAAAGGAGGTGATTAGGATTCATATGAAGAAGAAGGGTCCACAAACTCATCACCCATCCATCAGAGAGCTCTCAGAGGCCATGTAATTGTTTATCCACAACAGCCCGATGTATTGTCTAAGCTGTTGCCCCCTTCTATAGAAGATATCGTCACACTGATTTGTGTACTGTATACAGGCTCCAACGCCCCTTCAGCAGATTGGTTGAAAAGAAAAGCAAAACCTTTGCTTGTGCATGTGGATAGAGTTTGGAAATAGTGTTTAAGGGTCCGGTCCATAGGACTGAAAAAAACAGGTGGACCGAACTGAACCAGACCATGGTCTGGTCTTTTTTCGGTTGCAGTTGCCCCAATTTGGGGTTGGTCCAGTTGCCAGTTGCCACATTTCAAAAATCTTTTAAAACTGTTCAAAGACCGGTTTAAATCTGTTGCAACCAGTTAAACAGTTAGTATGAAGGAAATATCAAAGTGAGATATTTATATAGTGTTTCAATATTACAGGCAGAGTATCCAATTAGTATGTTGTTAGTATGGAAAAAATATGAGAGTAAAATATTTATATAGTGTTTCAATATTGTGGGCAGAGTATTCAATTAGTATACTGCAACATTATACCATACTTTTTGAGGGCTATATTACATACTTCCATAATAGAAGCATGGTATGGGCTGACAGAAATTTAGACAGTATCTGAAGGGTATGATTTCTTGGAAATACATAATTTTAAAGTGAGGACTCAATACTGAAGAGAGAGTATTGAATTCATATTATAATACTAAACAGTATATTAAATAAATACTAGAGAAAGACTACTGAAAGCATATTTCAAAACTAAACAGAATCAGCATACCAGCCTGATACCAGTCCCTCAATAATATTGATGGTATCTAAGATTATTACTATGAAAGTACAGTGCAATAACAATAAGAGTAATCAGAAAGTATTAGAGTGATAACATAATGTTAATAAACAAGTATCATTCAAGTATAATAATATTAATCATAGAACACTTGGAGTACTAAAAAAGTATGAAATGAGATGATGATGGTACTAAAATAATATGAGAAAAGTATTATATAGGGGTACTAGGATCTGAAGATGAGATATTCCAGCTGTTTTTATAACAATAGGCCAAAAGTTCTGTATTTGGTCAAGAAGGCCTATCATTATGAAAACAGCTGGAATATCTGGGGATCAGTAGATTTGCAGGATCTGGATATAAGTACCTATGGATCTAGAGAACCTGTCAATGCATGAATATAAAGATTTGGATCTGTAAACCCATGGATGTAGAGATACTTGGATCTGAGAATCTGTGGTAGACATCTGAAGAACAGTGGATCCATGGATCCAAGGATGTAGAGATACTGGGATCTGAGGATCTGCAGATATTAGAGATGTGTAGATCTATGATTGCACCAGTATAAAGATCAGAAGATACATTGATTTGGATATGAAGATCTGAGGATCCATAGATCTGTGGAGATAGAGATATAAAGATCTTTGGTTTTTGAAAGTCAAATTGAAGTTTCATAAGATTCCTAGTTGAATGTAGAGATATCATAATTAATGGATGCTTAGATGTAGAGATACCAGGGTCTAAGGATCTGTGAATCTAG